GACTGGACAAAAATCGTGCACCTATGGATGAGGACAGTGGGTAGGAAGTGAGGGAGGAGGGTAGGGTGGGAACTGGGTGGAGGGGAGTTATGGGGGGAAAAAGAGGAACAAATGTAATAATCTGAACAATAAAGATTTAATTTAAAAAAAAAAAAAAGAATGCCAGAAACACAGGCTAAAGGAACAAAACATGAACAGGCACAAGACAAAAGTGGCCTAGGAGGTATGGACAAGAATTAGAGCTTCTAGAAATAATGAGTGCAGTGGTTGGAAGTTGCTGCATGGAGTAAAACCACGTGTGCCCCACAGATGGTCTCAGGAAGGCGCTGAGCACAGACAGCAAGCTGCAAGGATACGCATGGTTTGATGACGTGTGATATTTAGGATTGCAGGACAGTGTTTGTCTAAGAACATGTAACTCTTCAGAATATAGACATGTACAGTGTGGTGCACCCTGACCTTGAGTGCTTGTGCCACAGGGGACACAGCAGGATTTAACTGTCAGCGGTGGCTTGTGAGTACACACATATTCTTGTATATTTATGCTTTTTGGTATATCTGAATGCATGCAAAATTCATTTAAATCGCCTGTCCCCAGGAACTTGCAAAAGCTTTCCAGTAATGTTTACTTTTCTTGCATTCTTGCGAACACTCCCCTGCCTTTTTTTTTTTTTTTAATTGATTTTTTACAGAGAGGAAGGGAGAGAGATAGAGAGCTAGAAACATCGATGAGAGTGAAACATCAATCAGCTGCCTCCTGCACATCTCCCACCGGGGATATGCCCGCAACCAAGGCACATGCCCCTGACTGGAATCGAACCCGGGACCCCCCAGTCCGCAGGCCGACGCTCTATCCACTGAGCCATACCGGTTTCGGCCTCCCCTGCCTTTTTGCGTGGAAGCTTCTGTTGAGGGTAGGGTGAAGGGGAGGAGGGCCCGGGCCTTGCAGCTGAGCAGCCCTCCTGCATGCTCTAGGTTGTCTAAAGAACAGACAGCCGCCCCTGGGAGTCCACTTACGCCACATCTGGCAGTGTTCCCACAGTTGAAATAAGTACAGCTAGCAGGGAGTAATTTTTCTCCTGAGTTTATCTTTTATTCTGGTGTGAAGTTCTAGACAAGGTTAATCACACAGTCAGGTATTTGCCTACAGCTGGGATCAGCCTTGAACCATGTAAATGAAGCACCAGGCTTCCCCCTCAGGGTGCCTGAAAGATCCGTAGCTCCTCGTGCAGTGAGGAGACAGGAGGACGTGGATGTTGGAGGAAAAAGACTGCAGAAATGGCCAGGATTCTGGTCGTGTCCCGCTGGGAGAAATCAGCGGTGTTGTCTGAACACGTCTTATCCAGGTCTGAACACGTCTTATCCAGAACTGGACACCTTCTGAAGCCAGGGCTGAAGTCATGGCAACTGTCACTGTTGTTCTGCCATTTTTCTCGAAAAAGACTGGAAGTTTTAACCAATATAATAAAAATGTGTTATAATGATGATGATTTACTGAAAGCTATTAGAATTAGTCCTGAAGAAATAGTATTGCAACATTGGAATTAATTACGAATGAGGTTCTAAGTCTCTCCCACTCTCCTCCCAATGACTTTCTCTTCTTGTAAAAAATATTTTTGAAATTAATGAATTAAAAACACATTCTTTGATCAACTGAATGAAGCTACTGTGCCAAGCCAGACAAATGTCTATTGAATATGAACATGGATATCAACTTCAAATCACTGATACAATACAGAAGTTAAGCCTTGGAAATAGATTACACTGTTATCACCAGGACAGATGCTATGTAGTGGGTTCTTTTTACAGTTTTTAAAAATGTATTAATGTAATTAAAAATATGAATCCATTACAGTTTTGTTCTGTAATACTTGTTTTTACTGACATGACTTTATGAAAGTGTTTCTTATATATGAAGTTTAGTAAGAAATCCTCACTGCATTTCTCTCCTGACCATGATTACTTTTCATGTCTTGTTTCTAAGAATTGTCCTGTTGGGTAGTACAGGAGTACCCGAGACCTTGGTGCAAACACATGGCTTGTATTGTGCTGGGTTCAGCGCTGTGGTGGGGCGTCAAGTGCCTGCTGGCTTACACGTGCTTCTCTTTCTGTTTGAACAGTGCTATCATGACAGGGTCCTACAACAACTTCTTCAGGATGTTTGACAGAAACACGAGGAGGGACGTGACCCTGGAAGCTTCCAGAGAGAACAGCAAGCCTCGAGCCAGTTTGAAGCCTCGGAGAGTGTGTCCAGGCGGGAAGAGGAAGAAGGACGAGATCAGTGTGGACAGTCTGGACTTCAATAAGAAGATTCTGCACACGGCTTGGCACCCCAGCGACAACATTATTGCTGTGGCTGCCACCAATAACCTGTATATATTCCAGGACAAGGTCAACTAGGAAGTGTGAGAACGCATCTCATCCTGCAAAGCTAAGCCTGTGGTTTCTGTTGTGGAAGGGGTATCCTCGTTGTGGATCGCAGGGTGCATGCCCTGTTCCCTTCCTAGACTGGAGCCTGCATACACACAGCCAGGGAGGCTGTGGGGGGTCGCTGCACAAGCGAAGAACTTGGTGCAGACTGATGGACAGAGCTCAATAAAGGCCATTACAATAAATGTATTTATTTAAATCTGAGCCGTCCTTTGCAGTTTATAGACCAAAAAATGAACACCCAACAGAAAACCTGTCCCATATCACTCTCTCGTCCTCCTGCCATCTGATGAGGGTTCTCGTGCTACTGTACCAATCGCCCGGGGGCCACTGGCCAAATGCTCAGGCAGCTTGACCTCCCACATGCCTGTATCTTCCATCACACCTTCTGGTGTAACCACCTAATAAAAGCAACACACTATACAAAGTGTTTTTAATCCAAATCCAAGTATTGCCTTTTTCTTTGATCACAGATGATGAGGTTGTACAAATCATGCTTCAGAACAACTTGGAACCTTGTCCTTCATTGGCAGGTGGCAGGACCTGTGAAGTCCTGAGCATGCCTGTCCCCAAGCTTGCTAACTTCGCTTGTTTCTGTAGAAAGACTACCTCTGACACAGCAGGTAAGATCCGAGACACCGTAACTCACTGCTGAGAAAGCAGATTGCAAGGAACTGAACAGACTTGCTGCAATGCGATGAGCACCAGGTTCCATGCCTCTCAACTTCATTGCAGTTGAAAACGTGTGCTTGCTTTTAATTGGTTAAACGCAGGGAGTGGACCATGCTGTTACAGCTCACTCACCCTGTGTGCATAAGCCAGCAAAGTCAAACACCTTACAAGATGAGGCCACCAGCATTCCCAGACAAGCCATAGAGCTGTAACCATACTAACTGCTGGGGCTACACTGCCTTCTGACTCGCTCCTGAGCCCAAGGCAGTGTTGGGGGAGGAGGGGGAAGAGCCGGGCTCACGCTCACTCTGAAAACAGGTAAGCACGTATGTCTTGATTGCTAATGACAGTGATGCACAATTGCTGTCACTCATTACCCTGAATTAATAACACCACTTAAGTTCACGTTAGAAATTGAGAAGCTAAAAGTGCATTTATTTTACTTGAAAAATAATGCTGTATATTGGTTGTGACGTGGTTTACTAATCTGAGATGTGGAACAGAGTTAATCACTCATCCCTGTTCCTTAAGAAAAAGCAGTTCTAGTAAAATAGGGTTGGATATATTTCCACTATTTTGACCAAAAAGTTTATTGAATTTCCAATGTTTAATGATTTGCACTGTGGATTTAGATAACTTCTCTTTCCTTTAAAATGTATTTCCCCCCAAGTAGAAGGCCAGCCTTCTGTGTCTTGGATGGGACAGAGCAAGGGCTGTGGGTGTCACTGTGGCTGCGAGCCCGTTCCTGAGGGTCCTTCTCCCCAGAGAAAGGCACTGGCAAGTGAGTACAGGGCACAGAGGGCATTGGGCTGGCTTCACCTTGATGTCTCCGGAGCTGCATTGTCCTGTGGTTGAGGGAGGGAGTGCAGAGGTTGGAGTCGCTGCACTCACACCTCCAGGTTTCTGTATTGCTCCCTGTTTATTGAAAGCCCTGAGCTAACACACCTCCAGTGCAAGCCCCCACCCCCCAGGCCACATGCTGGCCCCCAATTCTGCTGATGCCTGGCTCACTGCCCAGGATGTGCTTGTGCTCAGGGTCAGCACACAGTGAAGCAGCCTCAGGGGCCTATTCATTCATCCCTTTCAGAAACTAGATTTACCAGCAAGACCTGTGCTGCTGTGTCCACTGGACCTTACCTTACAGTGCCCAGCCCATTGTGATCCAGTGTTCGGGCCCCACCCTCCTTCCCCGCCCCTTCAGC